TCTCACTCTGTCACCCAGGCTGGAGCTCGGCTCACTGCAGCCTCCACCTCCTAGGTTCAAGCAATTCTCCTGCCTCAGCCTCCCGAGAAGCTGGGATTACAGGCAGGTGCCGCCACTCCCAGCTAATTTTTGTATTTTTAGTAGAGACGGGGTTTCGCCATGTTGGTCAGGCTGGTCTCGAACTCCTGACCTCTGGTGATCCACCCGCCTCAGCCTCCCAAAGTGCTGGGATTACAGGCGTGAGCCACTGCGCCAGTCCCCAAGCCGGCTTTCTGTGTCCCAGTGGTACGACCTGCCTTGCAGGAAGCCTCCCAGTCAGTACCAGGATGTTTTTTTGTGTTACTGCTGGCACCTGGACTGGCCAGATTCACAGGAGGATCTGGGTGGACAGGTTTGCGTGGATGATGCCTCCGTGTGACTCGTCCCGTTAGCTCTGAGTGGCTCCAGGATGCCGTGGATGGTCTCGTCACCTGTGGTTTTCTTCCAAGGCTGTTTCAGCTGGGCTGATGGTAAAACGAGCTTTGCACTGTCAATTGCAAGGTCAGTGTTGAGCGGTCCTGAACTTGGTCATCCGATTACCAGGAAGGGTGCAGGGTGCCCCAGAAACACTGTGCCTTTGGCAGGGAAGACTGGGGGGAATCTTTGGATGCTGCTCATGGGAGGCCAGTGCTGCCCTCCAGAAACTTCCTGGGCTGGACGCATGGTAGTTGGGTGGAGGAGGTGGGCCGGAGCCTGATGACCCCCAGCAGGTCTGCTGTTGGCCAGCCTCTTGTTTATAATTTGTCATGTCCCCCAGCTGCCTTTATTATTTAACAGTTCTCTTGAAATCACCTCATTCTTTGTTACTTAATATGATGTTTTTTTTGAGACCGTGTCTCGCTCTGTTGCCCAGGCTGGAGTACACTGGTACGAGCTTGGCTGACTGCAACCTCCCAGTTGCAGTCAAGTGATTCTCACACTTCAGCCTCCTCAGTAGCTGGGACTGCAGGCATACGCCACACACTTGGCTAATTTTAAAACTTTTTGTAGAGATGAGGGCTCACTATATTGCCCAGGCTGGTCTCGAACTTCTGAGCTCGTGATCCTCCTGCCTCTGCCTCTCACAGTGCTGGGATTATAGGCATGTGCCGGCTAATTTAATTTTTTAAAAGACGTTTTTGGCTGCATGCAGTAGCTCGCTGCCTGTCATCCCAGCACTTAGGGAGGCCGAAGTGGGTGGATTAGTTGAGGTCAGGAGCTGGAGGCCAGTGTGAAACCCCACCTCTACTAGAAATACAAATATTAGTCCGGGTGTGCTGGCAGGTGCCCTGTAATCTTAGCTACCTGAGAGGCTGAGGCAGGAGGATCACCTGAACCCCGAAAGCAGCGATTGCAGTGAGCTGAGATCGTGCCACTGCACTCCAGCCTGAGTGACAGGGACTCTTTCTCAAAAAAAAAAAAAAAAAAAAGACTTTTAAAGGATCATCAAGAGATCCCTTAAGGTAATGTTAAAAGGGAGAAAGAAAAAATAGATGTCAACAGAAAATTAGTGGCACTCCCCCAAAATTGAAGGTGATTATAAAAACAAAGACAGGTGAATAAAGCTGAGGCACCGCCCGTCCTCCCTCCCCCGTGCTGGCTGCCAGAGCCCTGAGCCCGGCGACTTTCTTCATGCTACAGAAGAGACCTAATGTTAGGGTGGGGTTCATGCGCCAGAAACGTTGTGCCAGAGAAGCAAGAAGGCTTGGAGGTGGGTCTAAAAGAGCGGATGACTTTCTCACGATTTGATACAAGGTAACTGCCACCCTGTCTCTTCCTGACACAGGCCTTCCATGGCCAGGCCCTATTCTCAGCTGTTTGCGATATTAGCTCACGTTACCACCGAGGCCATCCTAAGAGACAGGTCCTGTCCTGGTCCCGGATTTAGAGGTGAGGACTGGCCCAGAGAGGTTAGCAACTCGCTCAGGGCCACAGAGCAGGTGTGGGAGAGGGGGAGCTGGATTTGAATCGGGACTGTGTTGCTCAGGGCGGCACCCCCAACGTTTTACACCCAGGACTGCACGGATAGGAAAATCACCCCTACGCTTGCAGCCAGGCCTCGGCCCCAGCACTCCCGACACAGGGAGCTCCATCTGCGAGGGCTCAGCCAGCCTCCAGGACCCTTCCGGGGGTGCCTGCGTGGCACCAGGCGTCTGGAGCAATGGAATACTTAATGTGAGACGGGCCTGGTTATTTTCCTCTCTTTCTCCTCTCTGTTTCTTTTATTCTGTGGATGAAGCAATTCTCACAGCTCCTGTTGGCCCAAGCCCTGCGAAGCCAACTAACAGGGCTCAGGAAACCAGCATGGTGGTGTTGGGGGCTCAGAGGAAGGCGGGGCTTCTCTTGGAGACCGGGGTTGCAGTGGCAGTGCTGGCACCTGTGAGTGCTCACCATTCCGAGGACATGGATGTGGACTCCACCTGGTCTCCTCTGGCCAGGTGGGGCAGGCTCTGGCGGGCCGAGACTGGAATGGGCCTGTTCAGGGAGTGCCCCGCCCCCGTCCCCCAAGGCCCAGCCATAGAGCCAGAGCTGGTGTGGGTGTGTGGCTGGCCTGGGTGTCGTGGGGTGCGGCTGCAGGCACTGGCATGGGGACTGGGGCAGTCCTTCCAGGAAGAGCAATTGGACTGTGGGGCAGGGGGCACCCAGGCCAGGCCAAAGTCCAGGCTCTTCAGGCCGAGGCAGGACTTCAGCCCCTGGCGGCCAGTCAGGCTGCTGCGGAGAGCAGGTCGGGATGGGCCCTGGGGACTGGATGACGCTGAAGCCACAGGCAGAAGCAGAAGACCAGGGTGGGGGCTGGGGGCTTCGGGCTTCGTAGGTGGGGAAATAGGCAGGTCTGACCAACTCAGGCTTCACGGACTTCGCCTCCCAGTGCCCGGCTGGTTTACTCTGCAGTGGCAGTGACGTGCCCAGCACCTCCCAAGGCAGGATATGAATCCTCCCGGGGGCTGCCATCCTTGAGCACCTGCTTGGGGCCGGCCTCTGTGTCACCCTCCTCCCCTCACTGTGTCCACCTCACTCTTGGGTACCCCAGGGAGGCGGGCACGGTCCTCATGAGCCCACTTTTCAGGTGAGGAAACTGAGGCTGCGGAAGATCAACTGCTTTGCCAATGCCACTGCATCTGGGTGGGGAACGGGGCTGGAACACGAGTTTCTCTGACTCCAAAGCCCACGCTGTTAATGCACAGGAGAATAGGTGGGGATGGGTCCCTCGACTCCTGGCCACGGCCACCCAAGTCCCGCGTCAGAGTCAATCCACGCGACTTTCATTGCCGTGTTTCCGCCTTGTTTGACGTTATTTCTTGCCGAGCACTATGGCTTACAGATGCTGCTTCCCTGTCATTCACAAAAGCCCCCTCATGCCTTCCCCCTCTCCTCTTAGGAAGTCACCCCTGTTCCAGGACTCACCAGCCGTCCACACGGGGCCCCCCCCCAGCGAGAATGGAGGGGTCCCCGGGCTTGTGACGCCTGGCAAGGAGATAGAAATTTATCCCGCGCTGGGGCCAACGGTGGGACCGTCGGGAAGCTGGCAGGCTTTGGGGAAAAGGCTCCCCCGTGCTGACGGTCGCGGCTTGGCCTTAATTCCCAGGGGTGCGTGGTGCCGGGCGGGCCGCTCCCAACTGGCAGAGGCCGGGCGTGCAGGTCCCGGCGCCCGCAGAGCTCTCGCGCGCCCCCGCGTGGCCGCAGACCGCAGCGCCGCTTCGGCGGCGCGTTTTGCCGGAGGAGGGGGCCCGACGGGGAGGGGAGGGGCGGGGGAGGGGAGGGGGCAGGGTTTTGGGGCCCGCGCGCCGGGGGCCCTGGGCCTGGGCTGCGAGGTTTATTACCAGCACGGGGACTGGCGCGGCGGGGGACAGTGCATGCCGCCTATGGCCTGGGATAAGCTGGGGAGGGAGGGTCCGTCCGCGTCCAGCAGAGCATCACAGCGGGACGGCAGGCCCAGGGCTGCGGGCAGCTCCCAGAGGCTTCCTGGAAGAGCAAGCAGCACGTGTTGGTCCGGGAGGAGGGGATGGGGCAGGCTGAGGATGGGTCTGCTGAGACAGGTGGAGCAGAGGTGCGGCTGGACTGGAAGGGAGGGGTGGTGGGAAACAGGCTGGTTGCAGGAGGCGGGTGTGGGGGGTGCACGCAGGAGGAGGAGGCAGCTCTGCCAGGCTGCGCCGAGTAGGGCCTGTGTGGGGGATTCCTGGGAGGGCACAGGTTGGGGGCAGGTGTCGCCTTGGGGGTGCGTGATGATGTGAGGCTTCAGACCCTTCTCCCAGGGCTGTGGGCTGGGAGGGGAGGGGTGGGCACTGTCCCAGGTCTAGCTGGCAGTGTGGGTATCCCAGGAGAGAGAAGAGCTGCCCCTAGTCTTCTGCCTATTCTTCTGGCCGGGAAAGGAGGACTCTGTAAAGTCAGGGCAAAAGCCTGCGTCCCTTCGACAATCTGCCTTTTTTTTTTTTTGAGATGGAGTCTGACTCTGTCACTCAGGCTGCATTGCAGTGGCATGAACTGCACGAACTCAGCTCACTGCAACCTCCACCTCCTGGGTTCAAGCAGTTCTCTGCCTCAGCGTCTCGAGTAGCTGGGATTACAGGCACGCCATCACGCCTGGCTAATTTTTGTATTTTTAGTACAGACGGGGTTTCACTATCTTGGCCAGGCTGGTCTCGAACTCCTGACCTCGTGATCCATCCACGTCAGCCTCCCAAAGTGCTGAGATTACAGGCGTGAACCACCGCGCCTGGCCCCCTACAATGTGCCTTTAATTGGCCACATGTACTTTCAACACTGCCTTTAGAGAAAAGAAGTTGGCCCAGTGACTGGGCCCCTGGCTCATGCCTGTAATCCCAGCTCTTTGGGAGGCCAAGGCAGGAGGATTGCTTGAGGCCAGGAGTTTAAGACCAGCCTGGGCAACATAGCTTTTTTTTAAAACTAAAAATAAAAAAATTAGTTGGGCGTGGTGGTGCACACCTGCAGTCTCAGGTACTCAGGAGGCTGAGGTGGGAGGATGGCTTGAGCCCAGGAAGTCGAGGCTGCAGTGAGCCGTGATCGCACCACTGCACCCCAGCCTGGGCAGCACAGTGAGAATCTGTCTAAAAACAAAGAAAAGAAAAGAAGCTGGCCACAGAGAACACCCTAGTTCCAAATGGAATTGACCAGGCTGCCTTGAAAACTCTGGGTCCCCCAGCTCTTAGCAACCTGCTCAGGCCAGCAGGTGCTGCTTGTGAAGATGGTTCTTGGGCCTTCTTCCCTACTTCGTGTTCTGTGACCTCACATTGGTACCTTGAAATGGGCCACAGTGAGAGTGTGGATGCCACAGAAGTGGGTAAGGGCAACAGTAGGGCTTTCTGAGGGGGATCTGGAGAGCTGGTTTGCTGGGGCGCCACGGTGGCTGCCGCTCTGGGGAACCCCCCCCCGCCGTGAGAATGTGCATAGTCCCGTGGCCTTCGATTTTCTGTGCTTCAGTTTTCTCGAGTGTGAGTCTGAATAATGACTTTTTCTGAGTCCCTCTCTTAGTTTATGTGGAGAACAAATGGTTGTGGTCTCTAGCGCCGCGGAAAGCTTATCATGTCCCTGACTAGAGCTGGAAGACTTGCTTCAAGGACCAGGGCCCCTGAGCACAGACAGGCAGGCGCTGTGGCCGAAAGTACTCGGGACCAGGACCTTACATGCCACCGGCCACTCTTTGGTGCCGTTGGACCAGTCAGCTAATGCCTTGGGTTCCAGCATCCTCATCTGCATGAGGGGTTCAGGCTGAAGGGTCCTCTGGTCCCCTTCTGGGTGTGACATTTTGCATGAATGCTCCTCTCCACTTCACACATCTCCACGTTCCTGCTTCTCTCAACCCAAAACCCACTCCTTTCTCTTTTATGTATTTATTGTGTAGAGACAGGGTCTCACTCTTGCCCATGCTGGAGTGCAGTGGTGAGATCAAGGCTCACTGCAGCCTCCACCTCCTGGGCTCAAGTGATCCTCCCGCTTCAGCCTCTCCTACCATTAGCTGGGATTACAGGCACACACACACCCAGCTAATTAAAAAGAAATTTCCTATAGGGATGGGGTCTCACTATATTGCCCAGGCTGGTTTTGAACTCCTGGGCTCAAGCAATCCTCCTGCCTTGGCCTCTGGAAGTGCTGGGCTTCCAGGTAGGAGCCACTACGCCCAGACTCATTTCTTTCTTGACTCATGACAAGCGCTGGCTTTTCCTGTCTCAGCAGCCCCGCCTTCTCAGTGAGTGGTACGACCCCATCTCTTCTCAGTCCACTCTTTCTGGTGGGGGGCTTTCATTGAGTCCCACAGCTTGCACTGACAAGTCTCAAATGTAAATTGCCAGACTGCACGGTACCCCTGGTTGTGGACTCATCTGCACCTGTGCCAGGAACAGCCACACGTGGCCGCGTTGTCGGCACTGGGACTGATCGTGGCCAAAACAGAACTCTTAGCTCCCTGGACTCCTGTCCCCAACATTTGCTGACTCGGGTCCTGAGTCAGCAAGTGGCTCAGGACCCGAGCGTCGGACCCATCCTTCATTTGTCTATTTTCTTCACCTCCCCCTTACGGTCTGTCTACACTCCTGGAATGTGGCACAGACATTTGGAATCTGTGCACGTTGCAGCGTCTCCACCCCTGCCACTGGACCGTCCTGCTGGGCCCTGCGGCCACCTCCAAACTGGTCACTTCCTGCTCCCATTTCTGTCCCTGGCGTAGCAGTGAGAGTGACTGGTTGAATCACTGACCTCAGACCCTGTGTAAGCTCTGCTTGGGGCTCCCCCCACCCGCTCCACAAGCATCAAACAACCTCCTGCCTCCGGGCTGTGGTCAGCTCATGTTGGAGCTCACTCGCATGCTAGCCTGTGGGCACACTGGCCTTCTGTCTCATCCAGAACACGCCGGGCCCGTCCCCCCGAGGGGCCTTTCACTGGCTCTTTCCCCTGCCTGGAATCTCTTTCCCAGAGGCTGGTGTGCCTGGCTTCTTCTCGTCATTCCCGTCTCTCCCTAAATCCACCTTCTTGGAGAGGCCATTCCAGTCTGGGCAAATGAAAAGGTAGCCCCTGCCCCATCCCTGCCTGTGGCCATCTCTTCTCTGCCATCACCACCGTCTGAGCACTTCGCATGTGGATTCATTTGCTTTGTATTCTCTGCCTTCTTGGGCCTTTAAATGGCAGGTCCTAGATTCCAGGGACTGGACTGTCTTGTTTGCTGCATATCCTGAGCCCAGACCAGAGCCTGGCTTGGAGCTGGCTCCCGTTACATACTTTCAGGATGAATGAATGACTTTCTTCTGCTTGGCCTAGCAGACAAGGTAGCACTGTCCTCGGAGGCTCCCGGGGAGTTCCAGGAACACAGCCCCGAGCTCTCCTCTCACACGCGCCCCACGCGTGTCCTCAGAGGCTGGCTTCCAGAGAGTTACAGGAACACAGTCCCAGAGCTCTGCTCCCAAACGCTCCCCCCATGACGGCTTCCGAGCTGTCACAGTGGCGCACAGACATGGCAGGAAGGAGGGAGGAGGCAGCTCTGTCCAGAGGCTGAGGGATTCTGGCGTCTGGGAGAGGGTGGGAGTTCTGGCCACGGGTCTGGGTGCTCTGCTCTGGAAACCCGAAGCAGAGAGGCTGGAAGGGTCAGCCGTGGGGTCCCCAGGGTGATCGTCTCTCGGTGGCAACCAGGTCAGTGGGAGTCACTGGCCTGGTGGGGGGCCAGCAGCTCTGTTCTGGCTGCCTAGGACATCAGGGTGGAGGGTCAGGGAGCACGGG